ATGAAGGAAACCACTGGCGGTACATTTCTTAAGAGCCACCGTCAATAATAAAGGTGCTTAATAATAAAATGTTAATTCACATGTCAAGATCTTTGTACACACAGTCTTGTGTAGATCTTTCCATCATTTTTAAGCTCGCCTTGCAGAGGACCATCCATATTTTAATTTTAGTCCGTTTTTTCACGAACTCTTGAAACAGGAAACATAAAGTTGACTGTGTCCAAAGCAGGCTCAGGTAAAAAAAATTCCAACACACTTAAGCGTTTGACCTGAAACTTATGGATGGTAATAGCAAAGGCAAGTTTTACAGGAAATTGTCAACGTCTCAATTGAAACGGCAACCCTGTGCCGTAGTAACTTCACCCCTTTGGCTAGTACAGTTACGCAAGCAACCAATAAACTATCGGCGACAAACAGACACTTAAGTCGCATATATATATGGGCTGAAATAGCATCATCTCCTTCAAAATGGCTGGCTCCCGGGCTTAGCGAAGCACACCGTTGGATTCTGCAGGTCCGTGGCACGCCATTTTGACCATTCACATCTTCATGGGACTTTAATTAGCCGACATATTAGTTAAAAACTAATTTTCCCCTACATTTTTCCTACATTCTCCACTTTCTTCCTTCACTTTTATTTAAATCACTTTTATTTATTTATTTCCCTATTAGAGGATTTGGCTACGTGCCAAATTACTTTTTCTCGAATATATATGGAACGGCGCCGAATTGAAATTTGAGAAGCATATCCTCGGATTCCAAAAGATTCTCCTAATCCATCGATACCGTTCTCATCTTCGTACGACTTTATTCGGCCAAGATATTAATTAAAAACTGCGGAAACGTTAATTTCTGCGCTCATTTTTCCGAGTGGCAACAATAAACTATCGGTGACACACACTTTAGCCGCTTATATATATAAAGATATTACATTTTTATGTATGTTTCTTTCTGATATGATTTGTTAAATTCTTAATTTATTTTCCATATTCTAAAATTTTTTAATGTACCTATTTTTTTTATTATTTCTAATTATTGTATTATTGCAAATTTTAGTTATTCTGTCAATCTTCAAAATGGAACAAATGATGGTCACAGAAGTGATATAGCACTACATTTGAGTCCTGTGTTTTCTCCTCCACCTAGAATTGTACGAAATTCTTTAGAAAATCAGAATTGGGGTCCTGAAGAGAGTCATGGATCTAGCTTCCCATTTTCACGTGGGCAAGGATTTGAAATTTTAATATTAGTTGAAGTTGATCATTTTAAGGTAATAAATGTATAAAAAATGTTTGAAAAATTAAAACAGTTTTTTTATTTTATTGTATTTAGTCATTTATTTATTTTGTGAGTAGCTCAGTTATATATTTTTGATAGATGTATCAAAAGTGTCATATGATGTTATATACAGTCAAAGGTCTTTAATCTGGACTCGTCGAGACGTCGGCGATACCGGATTATTGGTTTTCCCAGATTATAGATCATCATTTTAAATCTGGTAAGATGGCATGCAGAAATTATAAAATTAAAAATATGAAACCATAATTTATGAAATAAAGAGCAATTATGATCTAAAGGGTATCAAAATTTACAAAAAAAAAGCTTAATATTTATTTGTGTATATTAAATATTTCTTTAACGCGGATGCGTAAAGCATAAATTACGCATAGTCGAAATTAGAAAATTGCAACAGAAACTATTTGATGTGTATTCGTGATATTATGACGAGGAATTTGATTTAAATCATATCAAAGACGGAGTACATTGAGATGAAATACTACATTTAGTAAGGAATTATAAGCCGAATAAAATAAAAACATTTGCTCTGAAGATAAGGATAGTGCTGACAGATCAACTTAAAGTTAATTGTGCGCTGCGACGGTCCCCCACCGCAGAGCAGCGTGAAATTGATAAACATATTTCAGAATGGTTAGAGAAACAAAGGATATGCCTTTATCCATTTTTTGTTTGATGTTTTTTTGTTTATCACTTTCTGTTTGATGGACTCCAAAACATGCTTTTGTTTTGTAGATCCTTTGACAGCTCCAGAATCGGAAATTCTTTTTGACATAATCGAAAGTTGAAGCTTACTTTCATAAAATTGCTCTAACAGTCTGCAAAAAATAATAAGCTGTATCCAATTAGAAGATTAAGGAACAACGCAATCTGCAACATTAACTGAAATAGATAATTTTAGCTCAGCTTATACCGTCCTTTATACATTAAATGCACATGCGTGAAGGTATCGTGCGCATGCATAAACGCACTGGACCTCAAAGCTACAAACTTTCTGCGCATGCGTAAATGCATTTACGCATGCGCAGAAAGTTTGTAGCTATGAGGTCCAGATTATATATCATTCCGGATTATGGACGTCCGGATTAAAGACTTTTGATTGTATATGCAGAATTTGTTAGTATGGTTTGTTATGTATATGATACTTTTATAGTTCTTTATAATATACATTTGATGAATGTGCAACCATAAAATTTGAAAAGCAGATCTTATAATTAACTCTCACATTCTTAGCATTTACCAACATTAAGTGATAAAACTGTTTTATTTGCATTTGGAGCATGAACAAATGACAGGTGTAAATCTGGGCTTTTATAAGTCATCAAACTAATCATGCATATTATTTTAGTAAAATATTTTTATTACAGTAAATTGAGAAAAAGTGTAACTCATTTATACTTAAAAATTTATTTAATTTGCTACAATAAAATGAGCTTTTAAGCAAACTGGCCATTCTAGGTTTGTGTTGAGCAAAAAAAAAAAAAAAAATTGTATACAGTCAAAAGTCGTTCATCCGGACTCATAGGGACGTCGGCGATTCCGGATTTCGATTTTCCAGTTATAGATCATCACTTTAATCTGGTAAGATGGCATGCGAAATTATAAAATTAAAAATATGAAACTGTAATTTCTGAAATAAGAACAATTATGATCGAAAGGGTATCAAAATTAAAAAAAAAAAGTTTAATTTTTGTTTACTTTATTAGCATTTCTTTCAAGAGTTGCTTCTTCATGTGATAATACTTTTCTTTAATTCTATTAAACAGAATATTTCTTTTAGTTACAAAGTTCCGCTGTTCAAGTCCTATAATTGCTGTGTCGAGAATACCGACTAATTTGTCAATCGAAATTTTTTCGTTTTCAATAACTCTGTGCATTCTTCACTATAACGAATTATAATGACGAGGAATTTGATTTAAATCATATCAAAGACGGAGTACATCGAGAGAAATAATTTAGTAAGGAATTATAAGTCAAATAAATAAAAAATCTGCCTGAAGATAGGAAGTGCTGAAGATCAACTTCCAATCATTGCGTGCAGCAGCATCCCCCCCTCGCCGCCGCAGAACAGCTGAAATTATAAACAGATTTCAGAATGGTTGGAAAACAAAGGAAGCCTTTATCCATTTTTTGCAGCCATTCCACTTTTTGTTTAACGGACTTCGAAAATATTTCGCTTGTAGATCCTTTACTTATTAGTAAATATATAGGAAATTCTATTTGCATAATCGAAAGTTCAAGTTACTTTTATAAAATTGCTCTACAGTCTGCAAAAAATAATAAGCCAGATCCAATCGAAGATAAGGAGAACACAATCTGCAACATTAACTCAATAGATAATTTTAGCTTAGCTTATACCATCCGTTAACATTCCGTTATGTAAACGATTATGCACGTGCGCACACGCATATTCACAGCCGTAAAGGTCTTACGCGCATACGTCAACGCGATGCATGCGCAGAAAGTTAGTAGCTTTGAGGTCCGGATTATGGGTGTCCGAATTAACGACGTTTGACTGTATTTAAAACAGTGGATAACCAGTGCTCTGTCATAGGTGTCTATGGTGAAGGGATTGTTGAACTATAGATCTTGCACCTTTCACACCATTTAGCAAAATATTGCATTTTTACTATTAAAATAATTTTTTTGTGGAACGTTTTGTTATTTATTTCATCAAACATCATTGACAGCCTTTCATTTTAATACTTACTATCAATATCATTCATAAAAATATTAATATTTGCTGCAAGTAGTGAAAAATAGAGAATAATATCCAAAAGATTAAATGATACTTTCTGATTATCCACAACCCACCAAAACGTCTAAAGAAATTTTTCATTAAGCAAAGCAGATGTTGCCAAAATAATTACATGGTAACCCACAATGTAGACAAAAAGTATCAATATGGCAGTCCAGGTTTGCCATATTACCAACCATCCATACACCGAAGTTATATGGATACTGAATTTATGCAGTACTCTGATGTTATTTTAAACAAAAAGAGATCATCACTGTGCACATGGAGGAGAGCATGAACACTAACCCCCCCCCCCCCGAAAAAAAAGGGAACAGTCCTATATCTCCCATTCTACTGGGGTGATTGACACAATTCAAATTGTGTTTTCCATGTCTTGAAAGCACGATTCAGGATATATACAGTCAAAAGTCTTTAATCCGGACTCGTCGATACTTCGGCGATTCCGGATTATCGGTTTTTCTGGATTATAGATCAACAATTTAAATCTGGTAAGATGGCATGCAGAAATTATAAAATATGAAACCTTAATTTATGAAATAAAGAGCAATTAGGATCTAAAGGGTATCAAAATTTACAAAAAAAAGCTTAATATTTATTTGTTTACTTTATTAAACATTTCTTTCAACATGCGCATGTGTAAAGCATATATTACGCATAGTCAAAATTAGAAAATTGCAACCAGAAAACTATTTGATGTGTATTCGTGATATTTATAATAACGAGGAATTTGATTTAAATCATATCAAAGATGGAGTACATTGAGATGAAATACTACATTTAGTAAGGAATTATAAGTCGAATAAAATAAAAACATCTGCCCTGAGGATAAGGATAGTGCTGACAGATCAACTTACAGTTAATTGCGCGCTGCGACGGTCCCACGCCGCAGAGCAGCTTGAAATTGATAAACAGATTTCAGAATGGCTAGAGAAATATGCCTTTATCCATTTTTTGCAGCAATTTCACTTTCTGTTTGATGGACTTCGAAACATGCTTTCGTTTTGTAGATCCTTTGGCAGCTCCAGAATCGGAAATTCTTTTTGACATAATCGAAAGCTTACTTTTATAAAATTGCTCTAACAGTCTGAAAAAAATAATAAACTGGATCTGATTAGAAAATTAAGGAACAATGCAATCTACAACATTAACTGAATTAGATTAATTAGATAATTTTAGCTTAGCTTATACCATGCGTTATACATTAAACACGCATAAACGTATTACGTGAATGTGTAAAGGTATTATGCGTTTACGCGTGCGCAGAAAGTTTGTAGATTTGAAGTCCAGATTATAGATCATTCCGGATTATGGGCGTCCGGATTAAAGACTTTTGACTGTATTAGATTTATATATAGCATTATTCTAACATAGGTATTTTGACAAAAAATCAGACTTTTTTCTGAAGTAACATACCAAATTTTTTCCATATTTTGATTCTACGACTCAAATTATGCGTAGATATTAAATTTTGTAAAATTTGGTGCAGAATTTAGGGAGAAATTAAAAAATTTATCTAGGCCCAATTTTTCAGTTTGCTCCAAGAATAATTCACTTGGCTAACTTCTTAATATATGGCAACCAATTTTCTGTTCCCACAAAGTATCAGTGAAGTGTTGGAAACATGACATCAAAAATCACTAAAATGAAAAATATAAATACATTTTTCATGTATTTATAAGAACTAATAATATGGTAAGAAAGAGGAAATTTCAATATTAAGAAAGAAAAAACTCATTGACTAGAAACAATATATGCTGGGATGTTGAAAGTGTGACTTGTTATTGACTTCAAACAAAATATATTATAAGAGACAATGAGTATGCAATTCATCAAATAGCAATGAGATGGGCAGACAGACAGTTCACAATGGGCATGTAATACGAAAGTGATAGCCTCAGGCTTTGCAAACTTATCATTTGTCAATGAATCAAACCAGTAATCCATTGATGCAATCCACATTCCAGGTTTGTTGTCCAAGTATCCGCCATTATAAAAAGCATACTTAATAAAGTTCTTGAAATAAGGAGTGCTGAACTGATATAGGGAAAAGGACTGCAGGGCCAGAAAACTATTGCGATGCCAAATGTGCTTTGGTGTCTCAATAATGATTGTGTCTGTTATGTAATGAACAAAAGATTTGTAGTGTCTGAAAAAATGAATATCCAGAAGTTGGATCTTTCCCTTACATCCTTCAGATACCAGTTCTTTAGGACTTTACTATCAGATCCTTCAGAAGCAGACAATGCATGGTCTTTGTTAGAACACCATGAATCCACTAAAAGTTATGTGTTTATCACATTAAACTTATGTGTTTTACCATCTCTAATTCCTGGGTGTTCAGAGACCCATTGCTTGTTCCGAATAGGGAGACCAAGGCAGTAACAACGACTTTAGGATCCAACTGCAATGTAAGAAGAAAACATACAATACATAAGTACTTGACAGCAGCATACATAGAGATGTCATTATGAGAATATGTCCATCTGTACTCACTTTAATGATATTTTGTGGATGATATAGCTCCTGAACACTTGCCCCTCTGCTCCTAAGACTCCTAAGTTTTTTCTACTTGTTACATAAGCTTTCAGAAAATACATGGGTTTCCAACAAACATGTATCAAAGGAGAGAAGGTTTACTTGTGGGATTAAACCCCCTAACTATCAATTTGTCAAAACTTCTTTAATTCTGTATTTATTTGAGAGTTAACGAACCTATCCTTAATAACCCTTTTTCATTTTTGTTGCCATATTCGAAGGTTGTCAGTGCCAATGCTAAACAACACAAACAAACATTTCACTAGAATGAATATTGCTTGTACATATATTCAAAACAAAGTTTTCACAGTGGTTAAATTCTTGCTTATCTTTCCACATCTACCTGAAATTATTTCCCAAAAGTGTTCCGTGCCTTTACTTTCTTACAGTGTGATACAGATGAAACAATTGTTTGGACTTTACTTTCATTCTCTTTTGTGTTAATACTTTCATTCAGTAAATTTTCCTTCGATTTGAGCCTTTTTTGTCCCTTCTCCCCAAGCAGGGGAAAGAACTGCACATCCAAAGCAATTGTGGTTTGTGTCACAGAATACATTGTTCAATTTTCAGAATGCGTTATTTTGAGGTGAAATTATTTGAGAAATTATCTTTTTGTCTGTGGATTTGCTATGTAGATGAAACTTTTGCACTTTTTGATGATAATAAAGATGATTTATTTCAGATTGTATCCATCATAAGTTCAACTGATACAGTTTACTTTTGAAATTGAATCGGACAATACCCTTCTCTTTTTTGATATTACTATCTGCGATGAATCTTATTTTAGCATTACTGTAAACCTTTTCTTGTTTGTTTACCTTCCCACTATAAATCATCTCGCTTGGCTAAGGAAAAAATGGCTTCTTTTTACTTTATTTATTTCATGCTCAAAGGTTTTCTCCTGACAATCTTTGCTTTCTAAAACTTAATTATTTGAAATCAGTTGTCATTGATAGAGAATTTTCTCCCATGGTTATTGATGATGCCTTTGAAAAGGTTTCTTCTTGAAAGTTTTCTTCTGTTAAAAAAGGCATTAATAACTTTGTTGTTCTTCCATTTCATCCTTCTATCAGTTACAAAATTGCATGGATTCTGAAGAAGTTCCATTTTCAAGTCATTTTCTCACCTATCTATAAAATCTGTTATTTAATTCTTAAAGATTCCATTTCAAGAGGTTAATTCTTGGGGAATTTACAGCATATCTTACCACTATGATTTGAGATACATTGACCACATTATAAGAGCACTAAAGTTTTGCATCAAGGAATAGGAATCTTATGTCTGAAAAGAAGAAGTAAACAAATCTTTAATAGCTAATCATTTTTAGAAATTTAATTACAGTTTTGACTTTGGATCTATGAAAATTATCTAAAAACTTCTTCAGTTAGTGAATTGGATTTTCTTGAAACTTTTCACATTCACGGAGATTTATCTTGTTTGGGTAATAAATTTAATTCTGATTCAGTTTTTCCTAACACTTTTAAAATATGTAGTTTTTCTTGTTTCATTGCTATTTCTCTGGACAGACGGCACTAACCTCCTGTTTGTTTTACTGTTTGTCTTTTGGTATATAAACAGCTTGTTGCTTAGCAGAATTTCTTTTCTCCTGTTGATGAGAGACCTGTACCTAACAATTGATCACATTTTGTCCAATGTACATTAGTGAAAATGAAAGAGTAAATTCCATAGTCTTATTACAATTTATTATGACAAAAACAAGTGTACTCAGTGAAAAAAAAAATATTGATCAGAAAAATGATCGTTAAGTGCAGATCCACATCTAATCAGATATACGTGTACTACGTACATATCTGGGTTACCACATAAATAGCTTTTGGTTATGGATTGCCACATAAATACTTTTTAGTGATATGGTGTGTTGCTGCATCTGTACATTTTTTTGGTAGATGTGTGGATAATTAGAAACTATGTAGTTTTACTAGCTACAAGTAAGAAAATATCATTGAATATTCTCAAAAATCATGAAAACAAATGAAGCTGTACTGTAGTATAAAAATATATAATTGAAAATGTGCATTATGATTGCATTATGTAAAAAGTCATTATGAATTTAAGATCTAAAAAAAATGACACTTTGCTTAATACATGCCATATGTACAGATTAAAACAGGTGTGGTTTTTATTCAGAATATTTTATAGTGATGCTTGCACATTGTTCTTTTTTTGATATGCTATTATATTTTCTTTGATATTCATATTTTAAAATATTATCTGAGAATAATGTTTTAGTTAATGGTCATTTCATTTTGTTATGAAGCTTTCGCCGAGCTCTCCAAGAATGGCTAAATTATGCACAAGATATGACTGCTTTACATTTAGATGAGTGCCCTGCACTATCAGTTTTTTCTTGTTGCGTGGCAAGATATTGGAGAGCCCATTGTCTGATTTTGTGCCTGTCAAACAAACAAATGCTTGTCTTTGGCCAGTGGCCAAAAACAGGCATTTGTTAAATAAATGTTTTTTATTTTTTTATTATTTTTTTTATGAAGCAGGTATTCTTGTATAACAATCATTAAGTAATAGTTGCTTACACTATCAATATTTTGTTATTTCTTACAGATTGCTATTGATGGTCAGCATTTTACAGAGTTTTATTATAGACTTCCTTTACATAGCATCTCTCATATATCAGTTGATGGTGATGTGTCAGTAAATTTCATTAAATTTGAAGGTGTTTCTAAATCACCCATGGATTCTGTAAGTAGTTTTATTAAAATGGTTATTGGAATATATGAAAATGATTAATGGATTTCTTGCTTGCTGAGTGTGAATGAGTTTAGTCAGATGATTAAACATGGCTGATTTAAACTGCGAACCGAATCAGTTAATTTAAATAATAGATTGCAGGTACAAACAAAAATTTGTGTATTCAGAAATAGAATATTCTATGCTGTTCACTTGGTAGTTTTTTTTTTAAAGGGGGGAAAAATAATATATGGCTGCCCATTTCCTAAATGTTATATTATGATGACCATATCTTTGCATATTAATTTAACATATCTATGTATGCTACTAATTTGTTAAATGTTATATTATTTACATGTAGTATATGTAAGGTCAAGCTTTGAATCACACAAAATTAAAAGATAAATATTTATTTACAAGTATTCAAGAGGTTTAACTTAAAAGAAAATTCTAAAAATGGTTAGCAGCAATCTAAACTTATGAAGCTAAAATGGAATTACAAATTTGAAGCACAATTTCTGTTGCCAAATTCCTGCACTTAAATAAGTAAAGCTCAGAAATAGCATTTCTAACATCCTCCCATCTTTGTAAAGTGAGAGCTTTACATACATTAAACAAAATTAAATAATCAAAAGTTAAAAATGTTTTAAAATTCTTAAAGCTCAAGTCATTCTTTCGGTTGAATGACTCTCTCATAACATGTTTGTATGCAACATTTTTCCAATTTAGTTTCAGAAAATTTTCCTGCTTTCAAAATGTTGACATCGTTGGATTACAGGTTCTTTTTCTTAGAAAGATCCTTCTGTCTTACAATTAATTTCTAAGGAAAAGAGTCTCTGTATAGGTTTTAATTTATACCTGTTAGCTGTTTTTACTTTTACAAGTTGATTAACATCATCTCATTCTGGAAATACTTCAGTAATCTTTGCTATTGGCCAATATAATCACCTTTTATTATCGTTACTAGTTATAATAGTATCTTCTATTTTAACTGTATCAGTATCCCTAGCTTTAAGTGATTTAAGCAGTCCAAGATATTTCCGTTTAAGCCACATTCTCAATTTCTCTCGTGTAGTTTGGAGATAATTTAATCTTTTTGCTAAGTAACTGCTTCATTGTGATCTAGGTCAGCTACCTTATTGTGAGGAAGCCTTTGAAAAATTACTGACAGTTTCAGTACACCCAATTCACCAGCTTTTTTATATAACAGTTATTTATGATAGATTTTTATTCACATAGCAGTGTGTTTGGCTCATGGTAACTTAGTGATGCTCGACTCAGACTTTTCTATAAAAGATGTTATAATATCCTTATCAAGCACTTTCAGAAACTTACCCATCAAGGAACAGTGGGATCACTGAATATCTTGTAAAATGCATTCTTCTTGAATCACATTCTAATGTAATTGTTTTACAGCTTAATTTACTCCTGTGAAAGTAGTACCACTATCCAAATGTATAATTGATATTCTTCCTTTTCAAACTATAAATCATCTTATGTGTTCAGTCCTTTCAAAGAGGTAATATAGGAACTTTGAGAGCTTTAGATTAGTTTCTTCTACTGCATTTTTGTAACTTACAGCTTTTCTTCCCCTTAAAATCCAAACCTTCTCTTGAAGAATGCAAAAAAAAATGAAAGAGTTCCAGCATGTTTCTGAAACAAATATTTGTATTCTACCATTCATTCTATTAAAGGATGTTTAGGAGGAAGGAATACTAGATATGCATATTCTGTGGTGCTACTTTCATCCACTATTTTTGACTTCATTTGAAGAATTCCTTGATCATTTTTAAGCTTTGAAGAGTCTTCAAATTATTCTTTCTTTAATAAAAATTTTCAAATTCTTCCACAGTAATGTAAGAAGATCTTGAAATACCTGGAGTTTTCAGCATCCATACAATTATTCTACAATTTAAGGATAACTTGAAAATCTGTTAGCAAAATAAGTCGATATCATTTCTATTTCCCTGTTTCTTGCACAAAGATCAATCTTTTGCTTTCCCATTTCTACTATTAATTTGGGAGCAGGAATATTGTAAAGCCAATTCTAAGGAACATCGTACAACCATTCTGGGCTCAACCACTATCGAGATTTTAAGAGTTTGGGAAAACAACCTCTTGACAACAAATATGCAAGATTCATATTTCCTGATACATGATTCCGTTGTTCTAATTTGCTGAGCTTTTATTTTTTATTTCCTTTACTCAGTTTTTAATGAAAATTGACCATGGACTTGAATTGTTATCCAGGCTAAAGTAATGGGTTGAATCTGCCCATAAGTACACTTCTCTTTCAGCTTATTTCTGATGAAGAAATAAAGATGAGCTCCAGTTAGGTTGTTATGAGTTCAATGTGAAGGAGTAAGGCTTTTGATGAAGCAACCCTAGATTTTGTCATAAGAAATCTAATGCAGACATTCCCTTCAAATTCCATCGTCAGGAATATGCATAAAAAAATGCAACTTGACTACCATCACAGAATACATGAATGTGCTAGAAGTGTGATGACAATGACAAGGTATCTTACATTCTTCTAAGCAGCTCAGTTGTTGCATCCATTTTTTAAATTCATTTCATGTGTTGGTAAAATTTCATCCCATCCTAATTTTTGAGATCATACTTTTTGAAGCTACAATTTTGGAAGTAAAGTTGTAGAAGCTGTAAAATGAATAGGATTATATATTGTTTTTAGGATAAAAGTGATCTTTTTTGTCAAGGAATTTTCAAAGTAGTTTATTGTATACATCCTAGTTCATCTGTTGAACAGTACGATTGAACATTATCTACAGTTTCATGTAACGAGTTACTAACCCATCCTCTAAGATTAAATCTAGCTGAAAACTAAACACATATCTGTGTAAAAAGATCCGAGAACTTGTTTAGCTATTTTTGGAAGATCAGCTGGTTCATTCTTCAACAAATTATTTATGCATACAACTAATAAGAAAGGTCTAGATGATACTCTAAAAACATCTCTACAAGGGCAGAAAATGGCTATTTGATCATTTTGCCACTGCAGAAATCTTAATCCATCATGATCAACTTCATCAATTTCTATTTGTAAAAAGGTTTTCTCAATGTCAGCCAGTAACCCAATATGATATTGTCTGAAGTTGAATAGAATGAGCAGCATTTTCTTCAAATAAGTTAGGAGCCTTTTCTAAAAATTAATTTAAAGAATGTCCATTTTTACCTGTGGCTGATACTTCAAATACTGGTCTCACAGATGTTATGCTATTTTCTTTTGTACAACATCTGAATTTTGAAGAAAATGCTTCTAAAGTTTGATCTCCATCTTCAACTGGTTCAATTATACTTCTTTTATGCCAGTCTAATATGATTAAACCATAGTCAAGCTGGTTCAGTTTTCGTTTCTAGTATGTAATCTTCTCTTTGCTGCTTCAATGTTATTTTCCAGAGGCAGGTAATCTTTGATCCAGGCTAATTTTACAATATATTGCCCTGTATTATCTCTTTTTACAGTTTGTTAAAACAATTTATGAACTTCATCATCTCTTTCACCTTTTGTTACTTTTACTCCAGATTCTTTGATTCTCAAGCTTTCTAGCTCCCAGAACTCTGAAATATCTTGGTAGAAAAATAATGCAACTAAAATATTGGAATGCTTCTATCACATCCTGACGTGCTAGCCAAAAACCACGCAAATGATATTTTTATGGCTACTACATTTTTATTAATCTTGCAAAACTCAGAGACCTTACCTCAGCTCCTAATAATACCTGAATATCAGGAAGATTGTCTTCTGTGATTGAAAAATCTGTTAAATGGATTCTCTTTTCTTTCAAACTTGTACAAAGAGTGACATCATTAATTTTAGAAACATAACAACATATGCAATTTTAATTAAGAACATTTACTTTGCACTGAAAATCCAAACTTGCTATTAAAAGCTCATAAATACAATGTGATGAAAGTGTAGTCAGCCTTGTTACCTCCAAATATAGAGTATGTGCAAAAGTTCTGTCCGTTTGCAAAAGGTTACTGATGAAAGGTGTTTTGACCGAAAAGATGTCACTCCGAGAGCTGGAATCGGTGGTCATCTCATCAGGAAAACAGTATAGCAGCAGCAGGCAGTGAGTGTGTATACTAATGGCTGATAACTGGAGAGAGTTGTGCCGATCAAATGGAGACCAGTAAGGGAGCACATCAGACATTGTTTGCTGTATGAGTTCGATAAGGGCAGTAGTGTAGCCTTGGCCTGACGCAACATTAGGCAAGTTGAGGATGCAATTGAAGGAAGCACATGTTGTCACGGGTTTTGGAAATTCAGGGATGGCAACAGAAGCTGTCATGATGAACCACTGTCTAAGCATTTATAAGTGTTCTGGACCACGCTATAACAGTAAACCCGACGCTAACTAGAGAGGAATTAGTGGCAACCTCCCAGGTACACAGGACAACAGTGAAAAGAAAGTTTGTGGCTCAGGGTTTTATCACAAATTTCGATCATTGGGTTCCACATCAGCTGAGTGAAAGTCAACGAGAGGGGTGAGTCACAACATGTGTTGCATTGCTTTCCTGGTACAAAAACCATCCATTTTTGGCAATGGATTATCATTGGCAATGAGAAATGGATTATGTACAGGAACATGAAGGACTGTGTGCCCCATTTCTGAACCGCCGCCATTGATAGCCAAATAAGAACTTCATCCCAAGAAAGTGTTATTAAGTGTCTGGTGGGTTGTTAAAGGAATCATTCATTGGGTTGTCCTGGAACTTAATCAAACCATTGATGCGGCCTTTTACTGTCATCTAGCATGATAATGCTAAGCCACATACTGCTGCAGTGACACATCAGAAGTTAATGGACCTTAGTTGGGAAATTTTAGCCCAACCAATCTCCTCCCGTAACTTGGCCACTTTTCTATAGATTTCCACATTTTTCACACTGTACAAAGCACCTTCACTGGGAAGACCTTTATTGATGTAGAGGCTATGAAAAGTGTCTTTAGCGGATTCTTCAATGCCAAACCGGCAGAGTTTTATTGGCG